AAACCCTAATAAAACCCTAAAACCCTAAACCCTAAAAACCCTAATAAAACCCTAAAACCCTAAAACCCTAATAAAACCCTAAAACCCTAATAAAACCCTAAACCCTAATAAAAAATAATAAAGCGTTAAGAAAGTCGAAGACATGGATCATAACCATCTATTCGACATTCGCAAGGAGCATATGCACGTTCATACCACATATGTGATGGAAGATCCCAGTGGTAACAAGATATGCGAGATCAGGAGCAGTTATAAATGTAAGAACCGCTACACACAGTCCCACTGTTAAACTAACAGCTATAGTCATTGGGTCGAAAGCCACTGCCACCTATACAGACCGGTACGGCAAGCAAGTCTTTTTGGTAATGAAAGGAAACTGGAACGATCGTGCTGCCCATATCATGAATGAAAGTACTGGAGAACCAGTCGCTCGCATTTCCAGGAAACGTTTAACCGCTCGTCATATTCTTTTTGGCCAGGACACCTACAACGTGACTGTGGCACCTGGTGTGGATATGGCACTGGTGGCTGGTTTATATATCTGCTTCGATGAGAAGAACAATGATTAGCTACAAAACACAAAGAAACCGTTATATATCATTTAAGCATATACCAAGGAGTATGCGATGGAATGGAAGTATATAGTGATGTGGATCTTATTACAAGTCACCGAAGAAGCTGGTTCCAAATGAAAGAGTCCCTTCATGTCTATATGACACATAATGACATAATTCAAAACCAAAGTTATGAACTGGGGCAGAGAATAATGATTTAATTCTAGTACTAAAACTGTAGAGTACTGCTCCATCAAACCCACGGGACCAGCTGTCTACAAACGGCGCTTAACAAAGACTGTGACTGCAGGTTATTAAGCCTGGACAACATTACAACCTCCCCTATCAAGCAAATCAATCCGGCCATACGTTATTATTTAAGCATTATGTCCCGGTCTGTGGGAAGCGGAAAGTTTGGAAGTGTAGATTGGGTCATAATATGCTTCCTTGATAGCGGAATTAAATCTCCACTCACGGCCGCGTGGACGTTGGTGAGGATTTCAACAGGATGCTTGGCACGGATTCCACTCTCTAAAGTAAGTGTTAGGCGACTACGAGGTTTGATGGGGCTAACTGCACCGGACCCTTAAGCTCTTATTTCTCGGAGATGAGGCGTATTCATGTCGATCTGTAATCCGCCAAGTGCATGTTGGTTCCTGATGCGGAATAGCCCGCAGGTGCCAAGAGGAAAAGATATTATTTCATCCCGTACAAAGCCCCACCAGGTCATTCGAGCTTGTTGTCAGGAGACCCGCGTTACAGATAGCTTTTGATGCTTCAAAGTTTAGGTATGTAAGCACAACGAGAATATTTAAAATGTGCTATTCATATACAGCTTTGACAGTGATAGTCAGGACATGAAGCTAGTTGTTAGCAAAAATGGCTAGAATAGCAGAACCATATATTAACCCAAATGTCTCTCACACGAGTCCAGAATTGTTGGAGTTAGATATTCATCATATAATAATACACAAGATACCGGTGTCCAAGGACCAGGATAACTAAAAGTCCCACCACCGTCACAGTCAGAATACCTCTCCAGCTAGAACTATAGCCACAACAGCAGAACCAACTATATCCACCAAGCTGAGTAAGATAATAGCATGGACAAAACCGTGTTAGAGACAACAAATGTGTGCCCAATAATACTTGAAGTTTTGATGACCCGAGGAGAGTAGCCGAATTATATACAAACACATCGAGCTTTATATTATTATTCAAATAGGACTTTCAAGAATATCCAGCTGTCTCCAGGGCGCAGCCATCGTTACAACACCAGCATTAATACCACTGAAGTTAATGAACAGACTGGCGAGCACAAACCCCGGAAGACCGCATTGGATAGATACAACCCAGTAAAGCATTGAAGTTGTAGCTTCCTTTGGAAGCCCGTAGTTTCATTATATAATGGCGATGACCGCCGTAGTCACAGGTCACGATGGTGCTACCATTATGATATAACGAGCAAGTGAATCGGTAGCCATGATGAAGTAATACTTTGAATCAATGGCCTTAGCAGTACGTGGTAGGAGAGGACTTATGAATACTTTAGGGCATGGAGATGCGTATGTACCCAGAGCAAGGTGGCGGCGTATATGTCTTGCATCTCACTAGATGGATGAAAATAGCAGCGCACTGACAAAGTCATTGCAAAATTGGGATTAGATATATACACAGTACAGAGGATTGATACGCCGTATGGAAGCAGAGACGCGCTCTATCCATCTTCAATATAAATATTCATTGGTTGGAGAAGCTTTGTCAGGTAGTACGCCGAGCTATATCGAAGAACGAACTATGCTTCATGGACATTATTGTGCGCGACCGTAGCGTACATTTCTATGTAGCACCCGGGTTGTGGTCAAGCATAGGGCCAAACCACCATCTTCTCATTTTCAGTTCTACTCCATGCCATCCCGCTGTGTCTTTTAGAGATTGCCCCGGTACGTCAACATTATGTAGATGACTAACAAAACGTGCGGTATACGCCTTCATGAAAGGTTGTGCCAGCAACCCCTGTAAAAGCTTGTGCGCTCCTGGAATGCCACCCTCGTGCGGGAAAAAATGGGCCACCGCAAAATAACGGAGTGCCATGCCTAGTGGAAACGTTGAACACAGTGCCCCATAGCCACCGGCATAAGGCCCATGGGATAGAGAAATTGTGTGCAGTATCCTGTGGGTGTGTAATGTCGGATTTCTCTCATTATGGTAGTTGGGGTATCCTGGTGCAGAAAAGGGAATAGTCATGAAGTATGTGACGCTTAGACTCTGATGCGCCTCGATCGTGGCCATATGGATTGTTGTGTATAGGAGGATACAGCAGCTCCAATAGAGGCAGCTTATATGCAACAGTGCAAAGTCCCTGTCTAGCCGTGGCATCTGGAGAGGATGACCTGATTTGGTGTGGTCAAAGTTCTGCAGCTGGTCTCCCATGGTTTCCTTCCAGGCATGTAACAGGTGCTCAATGCGGATACATTCACCGAGCAAGTTGTCCCAGGCATTGGGACTTTGCTCCGCAATGGGACATGCTCTAATGGCATCCAGCTCTTCCAATAAGGCCGGAACTTGGACCAGGATGTCACTCAGGCCGTCAAGTAGGGACTTTGTTCTGTTCTTCCAGGGTGCTAACATCCATTCTCTGTCGCTGAAGGGCGAACGCTTTCTTCGTCCCACGCCTAGAATGAACTACACATATACTAGTGAACATGGACTGTCCGTTGACGAAAATCGGTGGGGAAAGACTTACGGACACAATCCGACCGCTTACAAGTAAGTACATTCCTGCTTCGCTCCATTCCTTTTGCCAGCCCCTGTTCATAAACAAGGCCATTTCGCCGTCAGTATGGGCGTAGTAGCCCCTGATTTGGAGAATGGGTTTTTCTTTATCTGAACCACTGGATTCGGCGCCATAGAGAATCTGAGAAGCATGAGTAACTTGACCGGCTTCACGGGAAGCACAGCTTACTTCATAAAAGCGGAACAGCCGAATAGCGGCCAAAATCCCATCGCCGGTGACCCTTTGTGGATCCCGCAGGGCTGTGCTCATTTCCTGCAGCGCCATGCTGTGTGCTTGGACACCCTTGAGCTTCAGCTGGCTGTCGTTGTCTCTCGTAGCCAGCATTGAAAGCCCGTGAGCAAGGGTGATAAAGCGGAGAGTCTTCTCAGGCTGACATAATTTGTCTAGATGTCTTAACCACCCGGCAGAGGATATCTGCGCTGCCTCCTTGGAGAAAAGGCGACCGTTCGGCAGAAACGCCGAGAGATAAAGACCAACGTACATTACCTCTCGCGCAGTTCCCGCCAGCGATTGGTGTAGAGTAATTTCCGGGGCCCCGCGTATACGCGATTGTACGCTGCCGGTATCCTTTGTGTATTTACGATTCTCGCCATCTGTGGAGTTGATCCAGACCGAATGATTACGAGAGTATCCCTCGCAGAGGAGCCCAGCTTGGACACACTGGGTACAAAAAGGGGTCTTGCGGTCGCACTATTTCCCAGTGGGGACCTATCAGCATGAGAGACTAGTAGCAGCCCGGGGTTCGACATACGCCTCTCTTCCTCCTGCGACACGTCGCACATCCGGCAAATCGACTGGGCACCCCGACCATTTTATTCGAGTCAGTGGACCAGAGGGAGACTGTTAGGGAATTAGGCTTGCGCAGAAAGCATTCCGCTTTGGGAGCAGTGGTGGAGAACGTCTTCCTTTCAACCCCGCAGTGGAGCTTGGGAAGTGTTGGATTAGGGAAGCTAGCCAATCTAAAGCCGCCAGCTTGGTGAGAGACGGACAGCAAGGCTGTATGGTCACATCTGGCCATTGCCCACTCTAATTCCACTGTATATTCTTCGAGGGAAAGATGAAATTATATGATTATTTAGGGCGTAATGTATCGTGATGTGTTACTGCAAAGAATAGCTATTAAGGATAATGTGGATGAATGATTCTGCTGAATGAGACTTTCTTTTATAAAGCAGTTCCTGCTAGCAGATGACTTTCTCAGCCTCACGACCCCGCTCGATCAGCCCAATATAATTCCATCTTGTGGCACACCCCCTGACAACACCAAGGAACTGGCATTATTCTTACTGAGTAATTTAAATATTGAAAATATCCAAATTAGTGAAAATTTCCAAAGTAGAAGTAAAAGATTTATTTCAAACTTGTTTGAATTGCAGAAAAGCTCATTTTATAAAAATCTTAACATGCTTTACCTATAAAGAAAATACCATTAGATCTTCCTTTCCAAAAATTTGTACATGCAATTGGGGGCTCTCTATTTGTTAATACAGGAGATGCCCCCTTGGATATATTTCCCAAGTTCCTGCTATTTTAAGAACCTACAACATTATTAGGGAAGAAGTCTCTACACAAGGAAAGAGCAAGCAGGGGAAGAAGATTTAAGAATCACAGTATATATCCAACGTAACAAGCTACAGTCTATTTCTATGTTTAAATTAATTTGAATCACCCCATCAAGCTAAAATGTAAAGAAAGGCCAAAGGCCTACATTATGCTCCTCCATCAAACCAAAGTGATACCAGTGTAGCTTCCTTCGTCGCTATGGAGGACAGTCTTGCTGGCACTATCCATATCAACCCTATATAGGGATCCCCCTAAGTCAGTGAGGTAAATTTGCCGGTTTGCCCAGTCAATCTTCATCCCGATAAGCTCATTAAAATGACGGGCCAATATCTTTACATGAGATACCCCGGCGCCAACGGACGCCTGGTTCAATGTGTTGCCATAGGGATGCTCCCCGCGATCAGTCCAATAGAGTGTCTCAGTCTCTGTGTGGATTTCGAGGTCGATCGGCTCAGGCAGTCCCTCGAAAAGAGTTTCAATATCTGTTCGGTTGGTAGCCGTCTCACCGGCAGGCATTTTTATATTCGCGCGGAAAATGCGTCCCTGATTCGACCTTGAGGGACCCTTTTGAGACCAGTAAAACTTGCCGCGCTTCTCATCAATGGTAATTCCAACACACCAACGGGTCTGGTTATTCTGTTCTTCGGTACCAAACTTTCCCCTGCACACCAAGATTTCATGGTTTTGACCATCGAAGTCGCACCGGTGGATGCGCATTCCTTCTCGATCGCAGAAGTAAAGCTTTTGATTCGTCTCGTCCACAACAAGTTGCTTGGGGGTATGCACTGCGCCATCTGGTAGCACGACCTGTAAGTCGCTGCCGTCCAAGTTGGCAGACATGACGGAGCCATCGTTTGCGGCCGGTCTGAGTCCCATGTTTGTCCAGAAAATGCGCCCCACAGAGGGTGAATAGTCAAGCCCGTCAGGGCAGTTCAAGTTGGTGATGAGTGTTTCGCACTTTCCATCGCTGGTTCGTCGGAGGATGCGACCCGTTTTTCCAAGTGCCGAAAGATCCTGTACAATTGAACCAAGTCCAATATCGAGAAAGTAGACTGTGGGCGAATTCGAAGAATCATCTGCGGTTTGAGGGGGGTAGAGGCCGCCCTTGTCACTTTTGTTTCCCAGTTTCCCTTGGTTGACATAATTCTTGCGTAGCCAGTCGACACCCAAGGTAGAGCTTAATTGGCGCTCCTTGATATAATGATCTTCAATGAATGCAACAGTATCCAAGCCAACCTGATCCATAAATGCACAAGGCCCAGTCGCATTCTGAAACATCTCAACCCAGATCTTGTCTATCTCTTTCGGTTCTGAGACTCCTTCGGCCAGGATGGCTATAATTTCGCGCTTAATGGCTGCCCAGAGGCGATTGAAAACGAAACTGTTGGCTCATATTAGCCTCGCACCCTGCGGAGAAGAGGAGCACGGTTCACTCTGGATCGATCCCAACTCACCCAGTGGACTCTTGCCGGGCAATTACCGGAACCATGCCGACATCCTCCAGAATTTTTGTCAGAAATGGGAAGACCTCAGGCCTGGTCTCTCCGTCAGTCATCAACTCGACGGCCCGCTTTTCTGGTGGCATAAAGAAATGCATATTGCAGACCAATGGCCGTCTGTGTGCACCAACTTTCTCGACCATGAATCGCGACTTGAACGACGAGGAGTTGGAGGCCAGTATACAATCCACCGGTGCTAACTTGTCCAGCTCGCTCATGATATCAATCTTCATCTGTATACGTTCGGGAATTGCTTCAATGACCAACCAGGCGTCGCGCACAGTACTTTCAAGGTCGGAGAACGCGCGACAGTTGCCGAAGCTGCGATTACCTTTGGAAAGCTTCGAGTACGTTTGCAGATTTTGCGTAACGTAATCCACGGCGGCCTGTTGTGCGCTGAGAGACGGGTCTCGTAAATTGACGTTGTACCCGGCTGCGGCAAAGACACAGGCAATTCGACGGCCCAAGACACCCGCGCCGAGGAGTGCAAGTGGCCTGGAGCCGATAGTAGGTGGTGTCCATGGGAGATGCATTGTTTTGGAACCCCAGTAAATAATATTTGTATATGTCTAGAGATTGCGTTGTCTTTCTATTTAGCGATGCTGAATTGCAGTGAACCAGCGGTGTCTGGGAGGCATCTTATATACATTTCTCGACGATAGAAGTAAGCTTCGCCCAAACCCGGAAGCCGACACTTTCACTCGGCGTTCCGAGAAAATTTGACAAGCTTTGTAGTCCTGATTTGTGTCCACGACTGAGGCGGAACGGACGTTACGCTGGAATACCTATCTAACCACAAATTGACATTCCGGTTCCGCCTCCGTGGAGGTTCCGACATTAAGTAGGTGATGCGTCACCTGATGTCTGACAATCATGGGTGTGTTCGCTCTTTTCTTCCCCCACAAAACCGATATTTAGCAACACAAAAGGCTACACAGTGTCTGAAATGTGTATGACTCTACCTAGTGGAGTTTCACAACAAATTGCAGCGAACGGCCCTTAATTGGACTTGTGTATATACGAAGAAGGTCAATGTGCTATTGATTATGATGTTCCCACGCAAAATATGTCTTCCTCGAGAAAATATAACTACAACTATAGTCAGCAGCCCAGAGCTCCAAGCATCAGGTGTCCGTCATCTAGAGAGCCTGTTGGCTCATTCCTTAAGGTGCTGACGGGTTAAGACCTCAGTGTATCGGTTCTATGGCATTCCCTCTTCTAAAGAATTTGCTCCCTTCATGCTGATAGGAGTTGCGGCTCTATGCGATGAGCAGTGGAAGGGTGAGAAGCAGAAGAGATTAGAAGGGATGGCCTAGCTTCTACCTGCATGGCAAAAAATAGCATCTTGCACGCGACAGATGGATACCATCCTTAATCATGATTTGGCTGTGCGGTCTGGTTCGCACAGAGGCCAACTTGTGCGTGTTCTAACTTCTATGCTGGTATATATATTATACTCCTTTCATGATGTCTACCCTCCGGCTGAAGCAAAAAATTTCATAGATTGTGGCAAGAAGCCTAAGGTTTTTGAAGGAAAGTTATTTGAAGAACCCAGCAATACATATTTAGCCTGTTAACATACTTCTACCAAAGATGGCGGCCCTTAGACAGTCTCCCGCAATAAAATATTGATTCCGAACTGGCAAATCGCGTCACATCATATATCATTCTTGAAAAAGTCCTTCATCTCCGCGGCAGTCTCGATTATTCTGCCCCTGAGAAGCATACTTGATGCAGGTTATTACACGCTGTCTAATCTCACGCGCATCCTGAAGCTCTTTCATGAACCATGCGTGTTCCTTGACCCCGGGGATCCCTGCAAGTCAAAGTCACATATCGTTGCCATTAAAATTTGGTGGACGGTTATAGTAGGTAGAGACATACCGAATGTAGCATTTTCAGCACCAATGCCAATCACAAGCAAATCGAACGAAACTTTATCGTTCGAGACAAGGTGGACCACTGTTTGGGTCGTCGATTCTCGAGACACTGGATTTGTAGGACTTCACCAAAGCATGTTTGTTGCTCAAAATCCTACGAATAGGCTCCATAGGAGACCGATCTTGTGGCATGCAAGTAGCACAAGATGGGAGAAGAGGCGTGAAGGAAAATGGTCTCGAGGCGAGATGAACGCAACATTGTATTTGGAAGGATCAAAATCCTTGAGCGGAGACACAGAACCCGACCCTGTGCCTGGTACCATTTCGCGAATAGTTAGCGAGATAGTAGTATTTGGACGTCCATGTGAACTTGCGCTTACATACCTAAATCAACTAGAGGCTTCTTTGACGGATCTGCCTCTACTGGGGGCTGTGAGTCGGGGCGGCTCAAGATGCAATGTGCACCGTAAGCTGCAACACTGCCTTCCTCCTCAAAGGCCCATTAAGCGGCCATTCTACTGAATTGAACTTCCCCCACGCGATACTAAACGTTCCATATGCATGAGGCTGGGTATTTATTCTGGTTCCCTTGCAATTCTGCGAGAAGGGCTCGACAACCACTTCGTCGTCGTCCAGACTGAGTGAGGTCAACGCAACAAAAAAAAAAAAAAGAAAAAAGAAAAAGTAATGCGGAAAAAACCGGATACAAACAATGGTTTTTGCAGAGTTATATACAGGCGTTCACACATGAGCGACCCCGTATTGTATGTAACTCCCTTACGCAACTGACCTCGGGAGTACCGCCGGAATGTCCATTTTGGCTTGTTCCGCTTCCTAACTCGGTATTCCGATGCTCGGCATGCCGTGCCTCTTAAGGGTAGAGGAGGTCGGAAGGAGATTAAAATGACTCCATCCTGAAGCCTAGTTGGTCGTGCAGAATGTTGCTTTCTCAATGCGGAGAGGAAACGGGGGGTGACATCAGTGGTTATGAGCCTCCGTTGAAGGATATATTGCTATAACCACATTTACAAAAACACTGAATATATTAGATCTTCTCGCCAAGGTTCTACCATCCCTGCCGAGTTCGAAAATGATACGCCCGAATGCCGTCCTCTTCAGTCCGATAGGGCGAAGTAGGTCAATACATCCTCCAAACATGCATCGCATTTCATTGCGCAATAAACCAGGCAGACCACGGAAATTAACACAACCGATACTTCTTGCTGGACAAGCGGGCTTTGCTACCTCCACTCCTTTATCATTCAAGCTGCAATCACCACCAACAAAATCAACCCGAATCAAGAAGACGGCCATTGTCTGGAAACACCCAATATGAGTTCACCTATCTCCCTTTCTTTTTTTGGTGTCTGCTCTTCTCTGCTCTTCCCTGACAATTAAAAAAAACCTATACAGAGAAAGAGATTCCTGATATCACTGTGGCTCATGGCAATGCTAAGTGTCTTTCTGATAAGGTCGCCTTTGGCTTGGTACGTTGTCTTCGATGGTACACTGATTTTGTGACTGGGTATCGAAATCCTGAAGGGAAAAAGAAGTCGTAGACAAGTTTGAGATGACTGAGACAAAGCCACTTATTAGTTTCACCATTCTCGAATCGGTTGCAGGGTGCCCGGTATGGTGGGCGGCATGCTCCGACATTTAAAGAGTGTTAGACAGATGAAGAAGGATCCTGGATGGTCAGTGCGAGGGAAAAAAAATAAAATATCTTCAAAATGTTAAAAGTAGCTACACAAGAAGCTGCTGACTGACACAACTGCAGGATTGAGTCCTTGATTGAAGAAGCCTACAACGAGCGCATGCACCTCTTGACATTCCTCGAACTGGCAGATCCAGGTATATTCATGCGCTTCATGGTCTTGGCCGCGCAGAGCCTCTTTTTTAATGCCTTCTTTGTCTCCTATCTCGTTCTACCCAAAACATGTCACCGGTTCGTCGGATACCTACAGGAAGAAGCTGTCATTACCTTTACACCTGCAATCCATGAACTCCAAGCTGGAAAGCTGCACGCATGGGACGATCTACCAGCACCGGAGATTGCAGTCAAAGATTGCAGAATGCCAAAGGGAAAACAGAAGATGCTTGATTTGTTGCTCTATGTTCGGATGGATGAAGCGAAGCATCGCGAGGTGAACCATACTTGGGGGACAGCAAGAGGATCCCAATCCTTATACTGCGCTTTATCACGAAGGGAATAATGTTGGTTCCTCAGCGTCGCCTATCGCACGGAAGCCTTTTGGGTTAGAGCGAAATGAAGTAATTTAGAAACTTTCTCAGGTGTTGTTCTCTACGAAATCATTATCCTTGGACGTAAATCATTCAATTATTCTTTTTCCATCTTTTTACTTTCTCTCAGCAATATTAGTACCTCCATCTCGTACTATTGGCAACTTCTAGCACAAATAGACTTTATTAGGATATTTACCTACGAGCTGGAAACTGGACACTTCCAAAAATGTAACTAAAACGGCACTCTGAACGCATCTCCTGGCCATTCATCGGCTATATCGCCCAGGGAAATAGGCCAGTCATTCCAGTTGAAGTATGAATCAAGAGGATTCATGACAAGACTGTCAGGATCAAAGTCGTTACTAAAGTCTTCTAACGAAACTTCGCCAGTGGGATTGCTGGGTTCCAGTCCTTGCGGCCGAACTATCTCAAACTTTGTAGACTTGACCATTGCACTGAGCTGCTTCAGTGTTACCCGACACTTGTGAGCAATATTGGTGGAAGGCTCGCAACCTTTGAGAATGTCGTCGACTTGATCTAATAGATCATCGATTTCTGAAATCGGGATATGGCCTTGGGTAACAGGGCAAAGATATTCCGCAATAAGAACAGTAGCAGCCATATAGATATCTTCTAGCATGAGCTCTTTGTCTATTTTAGGGAAGTTTACAATTCAGAAGACTGCACTTACAAGAAATGATGTACCAATGGGACGGAAATGTGTTCCTGTCTGATGTAGTAGTCTGCCTGTTGTTCAAGTCCTTGAAAAAGTTCACGATATCTCGTGCAGAGCTGATGCACTTGGTGTGACAGCTTTTGATCACTATCTGAATGACTTGCTCATCAATAGGGCCGCTGCTATTCTCGTGTGACCGATTCCTGGGCCTGCAACTCTGAAAGAAAAACGGTCGAAAGAAAAGTAATCTAACGCAGAGATATCTTAAAGAGTCAGCTCAGGGTATTCCACTAGTTCGAAATACCCGTTCTCACCGAGCATGAAGTACGTTAGTCATCCGGGAGTCTGTTCGGCCAACATCCACCTGCAGCTGCGAGGGCAGGCCGGAATGCCAAGCCGATAAATCGGACTCGATTCGAAATAAATCCGTGAGCCTCTGCGGAGCCAGGACATCAATTATCTCCGTTGGGATTGATGCCCCAAATTGAGCAGAAGACGGAGGCTCGCTGCTCAAAGGATAGAAGGACTCCAAAATGTCGCCAAGTATAACATGAAGATGACAGAAAGCGCGATAGAATTCGGCATTTATATTCGAGGCGTTATCTGGACGTCGCGCATGTTGGGTAGCAGCAAAAGTAGGCGGCACAGCAGATTTCTTGACAATTTCATGGCCGATCTGAGGTTTCGATCCAAAGGTCATGGCCGCAATCCTAGTAAGAGGTCAGGTTTTAATTTCGGTGTAGGTTGCAGGCCCCATGTACCTGTCCATAATAATACATCCAAACCACACTCTCATAGCAAGATCTTGCTCATGTCTGTTAGTAAGTAGTCGGCAAGATTCCCAGGATTGAACGCCTAACATCCTGGCAATTTGAATAGCTAGACCGATGTTCTGTACGAATTCTCGAGCCAAGTTCGTGTGCTGAAGGTATACAGCAGAGAGGAGGAAGATTTGAATGACGTCCAGATTATGCATTTCCATAAGATTAAAGGACATGAGCTGTTTCGCTCTGTCGAAGTAAACACTTGCACACTGAGTGTGTGTATAAACTTCGTCGGTCGTACCGATCATGGAAGATGTCGCAAATATCAGGTTCAGGATGCAATAAAATGCCTTTTCGTTCATGTCCAATGCTGAATTTCCCCACACCATCTCGTAGTTTGCGGTGATTGTGCCCTGATCTAACCAAGGAAAGATAGGATCAAGGTGCTCCCAGTATTTTGTGAATAAGTCATCAGCCACCCTTCTAGTTGGAAGAACAAAAAGAGTCTCGTAAAAGACTCTGTTCTCCACTAGCAGGGGCAATCTAGGCAGCGTTTGAAGTTCCTTGTTAGGTTTCTGATTCGACGCCGAAGTGCCTGTCGTTGCACTTTCAATTTGACGCACAAACTGTGAGCCCGTCGATGCATCTATGAGGCCCTCGCTAGGTACAGAAGGGAGCTCTTCATGAGGAAGTGATATTCCTGCGGGTGTTCCATGTGTCGAAATGGAGCGCCACGTAACCGAAGCTGTAGGCGCTGTAGTATCTGGCTGGGAACGGGCACAATCGACGGGTTCGGACGAAGAGGTTCTCGCTGCCTTGAGTTTTGATGAGCAAGCGACACTCTGGCAGCCAGTGAAGACGCTCAAAACCCACTTTGTTGTCATCCCCGTCCGGTTTGTTCCTAACGCCGCTGCTTTAGCGCTGCGTCTCCTACAGCGTGTCCACAAGAAGAACTTACTCTTTTCGGTATGCACCGTGAACCAGCTCAGGCCGATATATACATTCTATCGCTCCATTATTTCGTCTAGAACATGGGCCACACACTGATTGAACGACCCATTGAGTGAGTGCGTGTTCCGAACGGAGCGAGAATCTGCAGGAGAGAGCCCACCTGGCCTAATGCCATCGCATTTGGTCTTCCTGCGCTTGCAAACGTTGCAAGCAACACTAATTTTCTGCCGCTTTGTTTGCGGTTCTGACACGAAACTATAATGGAGACTGCGCTTACTCGTCATATTTATTGCGCGGATGTGCAAATATCAGAAGCGGAGGCGGAAACGCCTGCAGACGGAAGTGACAAACTAGTTTATTAACATAATCCACCAATGGCTGCGACCCCACAGATCACCTGACCCATGCTGTGCTACGAGTCACATGATACAACCGGAGTCATATGACTGATCACTACTTCGCACCTCCTGAACCAAATTCAAAGCAGAACCGTAGCTCGTATTAGAGGTTCTGCACTATTATAATAATGTTATTATAATAATAAGTTGCTAAAAGAAATTGATACTGGCTAAAATAAAAACATAATCTGTTACTTGACTAAGCAATAGATCCATAACGTGACCCACGGTTAGACAGCCCAGCTGGTAATACTATACAAAAGACTCTTTTTACATATAAGATATCTCAATCACTATAAGACTAGAAGACTCAATATTACTTAAATAGATTATAAATAATATAAATAAGTATCTAATACATCTCAAAAATCTATATAAATATGAATAGTATCTCATTATATTATAATGTTTATATTTTATCTGTAATTTCATATATATTGATATATTTTATAAAACAAAAATTATTAAAAATCTGGATTAAATTATATATCATTTTTTTCAGGTTTATATTATCTATGTTTGAAGTTAGAACTGATTAAACTTAGTATTGATTAAGATATAGAAGAATCAAAAAGACATTTTCTATATAGGATAACCAGACAGGCCGCCTAACCGTGTGGGCCGTCTAACCGTGGGTTACGTTTTTTAGTATTCTTATTATAATAATGATATAACAAGAATACTAATATAACAGGTTTAGCACCATGCTAGGAATCTAGTAATTAAAGATCTCTATCTACTTTATAAAAAAAAACCCTACATAAGAACTTAATATATTGAATTATTAATAATTTCAAGTTATATAAATACTTTTATTCGCCTATACTACCAGGAATTCGATAATTTTAATTTTTATTCTTATAATAATAATTTTATCTTATTCTTTTCGGGTAGGTATTCCATGACTGGACTATATAACTGCCTGCAGGTATCCAGAAACAGCAGTTAATATCTATTAAACAGCTAATATATTAAGAATTGTCGAGAATATCCTATTCCTAAAGAGTTGAATAGCTTTATTAATAATAAAATCAATACTATTCCTAGTTAGGTTCTGCCAGGCAGAATTTATTATCATAATAATATTATTATAATTTGCAGAACCTCTCTATTGGTGCACACAATCGAACTTATCACGTCTCCTACATGAAGATTATCCCTTGATCCGCCAGCCTTGTTCTCAAAAAATCTGCTTCACATTTAGACCAGTCAATTACAGTCTCACTGCTGGCACACAGGGGTATACCAAACAGGCGACTGCCTCCTCGTTTGAGGACGTCGCAAGACCCCGCATCCCCATTCTCCCAATAAATTGCGCGGTGTGACTACTGCGATCGAACAACTTGTATATAGATAATATGTATTGGGCAATATATCATCGTTGGATAGGAGAAACAGCGAGGAAAAGCATGAGATAGAAAACGAGAGTTGATTGTCTGTGCAAGTTGAAAACGCAGCCGCCAACAGACGTCCCCACCCTACCATAAACAGCCTCGAAGTAACCGCCAGAGCCCGGATCCGATCATCCCACCACCTGAGGACAAAGCTCCGCGTTGATATCTTCTGACTAATGAGGTACTTATCTCTCAAGAAGAGATCGTGACACTGGCGCTGCCAGCACCGCTCCATGCTTCCACCGCCACGACCTGATAATTGAAGTCGCTATTGCCAAACCCATGCTGGGCCCAGAAGTTGAAATGGTTGGCAACAGTCACCGTTCCAGAAGTGCGCGTGCTCTCTCTAACGGAGAAGTACTGCGTGAACGTGCTTGTTCCTGTGATGGACGGTTCGTTTGTTCGAGTGTCGGTGCAGACTTGGTAAGTGCTTCCATCAGAGTACACGGTACCAAGGCTTGTGGCCGAGCTGCAAGGGTTGTAATCACCGTAATCCTCGACGATGTAGTACTCCGCCTGAGGATAGTTGACCCAGCCGTACACAGCGAGGTAGGAAGAGGAGCCAGAAGCGCTGTAGTCGGCAGAGTAGGTGATAGGGCTGAAAAACGTTAGATCCTAGATTTAGGTTAAAGAATAAAGTCACTCACTTAGAAGAACCAGTGGTCCAGCCCAGACCAACGACAAAGTCGGAGCTGACACCATCTTCCCAGTACATGGAAAATGTTCCGGCACTCTCGTCGTAGGTGAAGTCACCAAGGTTGCCGTTGTAGTTTTGCACGTAGTTGATACCGGCACTTCGCGACACCAGAACAGGTCCCGGGGCAGGAGCGGCGAGTGCCGTGACCAAAAGACCTGCAAAAGCCGTAGTGACCTTCATGATGATTGAAGAAAGCTGAATGCTGGGGAATGGATGTATGCAACTGGAAGAGAAGCCCTGTGCTGGTCAATATTGCTGCCAGCCCGATCTACCCTCTATTTATATTCTGCGAAAAAGACTATTTATCCCTTTCCCCTGCACGACCAGCAGCTAAAGTCATATGTATTTTGCCGCATCATCTTAAACGCTTGCACAACCTCGAGCCTATTTCCAGGGACAGTTCTATGGTTGTGTCTACAGTCGTGCGTTTCCTGTGTAGCCACCAATCTAGGCACTGGACTTGGCTAAATGGACCGCACTTGGCTAAATGGACTACATTTGGCTAAAAGGACGGCAGGCGGATAAAAGGACTGCAGTTGGGGGAGGCGGGGAAGTGGGGATTCTTCACCGGTTCCCTGCAGAAGGTTTTCTGGCTCAGAAGTCATGTTCATGATTATGTACTCACTGATCTACTGAATGAACACAGTTCCTCGCTCATACAAGACGTATGTACTGCAGGGTTATGTTTCTTTATTTCTTGTAGCAAGCCTTAGGCTCAAATAACGCTGGGAGAAACACTGTCCAAAGGTCGCGAAGGTACTTTGGACCTCAAAGGCCACCGCGAGTTGACTGAGCAGTTCTTTGTGTAGGTGATTAAGGCAGGGCGAACCTCGGCGCGGACCATCCGGCCTCGCTGAAGTGTATGGCAAATCTCGCTTATAGCTGGAAATACTCAGGTCGGAATGCAGAAGCCATCAAATTACCGAGGTCCTGCCTAGCCAAGCACAAACAAGATTGGGGCTAAACCCTTGGCAAACTTTACCCAACTATAGGAGCCTACTACCCAGTAGGAATTGACTGGGGAGTGGGAACCCATCAGGGAGTAGGGGCTGACTCCGGCAACCTATACAAAGTTGTATATCCACCAGTGATCTGGCCCTCTTGGTAACAGTACGGGACTCCAGACGTTACTGGCGTTTCCTGGCGACTTATGATGAGGTATCAGTAATTGATATGTGGAGCTGTTCTCCAAAAAAAGGTCAAGATGGCGTGTTGTTTGGTCTAACTGGTCCTGGAACCCACCCAACAATTGTTGGCGTCTTAATTTACGTTACTGCATACTGGAAGCAGCGCATACATGTGCGATATATTCTCTCGTGTAGGATGGCTTTCGCTGGGGGTGAAACAAACCTAGCGTAGTCTCACAGTGGGCTGCGGAGAGGACTAGGTCACCCGCCAAAGTATTTTCGACGCTGATTCAGTCATTATTCTTGTCTCCTAAGGCTAGGTATGTATGCGTACTTCGGGTTGTTCGCGGTTGGGCAGTTTTTTTTTAAGGCCACGTCTCTCCTCAGAGGCTGAGATAAAGTAAGCCAGGCTCTCTCAGCTCCAGGGAGCAGTCTCGCCTGTAGATTGATCTGTTCTTTCTTTCTAAGTCCCATTGATGGTAGGCAACAGATAGAGATCGTGGGTATCCGGCATCTTGGTTCTGTGGAGACAGTATGTTGGCGGCGACCGACAAAACTGGGCTAGCACGTCACCTGCTACTGGTATTTCTCGGTATCTTATCGCGCTGCTGGTCGTTGACAGCCATGCCATGCTCTCCCAACACCTTCCCGCTGGCACGGCTACAAGATTGTCTACCCTCATTATCTGGCTTCCATGGGAGATTTGATCTCGGTGGCGTGCGATATACTTGTCTACAATATTCATCCCGCTTCTGTTACGATAGACAATGTCACTTCATTGAGCGTAGAAGTCGTGGATACGAAGGGGAAGTTATCCGCCGATACCCGTGAGGAGAAAGAGGTAGCAAATCTATATTAGAGTATAGGACTGGGGCAGCTGGCCAGAGGATGAAAAAGGAGATTGTAGATAATGAGAGTGGTAAGATACTAAGTTCTAAGTTAGATTTGCTTGCATGCGTCTCCGGGGAGATGTAGAGAAAGAGTTACAAGAGTGAGCAGAAGGGTTGCGATGAAAAGAAGAACCATCGTGTTAGGAGTGAAAAAAAAGAAGCGTTCGATCGAGAGACACAGGAAATTGAAAAAAAAAAAGAAAAATAATATATTAAAACCAGCCAGTGGGTAGAAAAGTGGGGAATGCTGCGGTGTCGGTCGCACGATATGATGTTTTTCTATGCCTGCCTTCTAGTATTCCGGGCAAATCTGGTAACTATCATAGCTAAAGGCCGAGGTTAGGCTCTAGACTCGCATGCTAAGTATATTAGTTAGGCTGATACTACATAAGATCCAGGGTTTGGCTGGATTCGGCCGACTGCACTA